CCCCCCCCACTTGCTATGATTAGCTGCACATCTACCCTTCAGTACCAGAAGGGGGGCAGTCAACAAGCTAATTAGTGAGCCAGCAACAAGGTAAGTTTGCACTTGTACTTGTGGTAGTGAACTTATATGAGCATTTCACCACCTTTGCATTCAATCAAGGTTCAGAAAAGAGATTACTAAAGAGAACAACAGAACAAGAAGTATTCATGACATAGAACCAATGTTTTCTACCATATGCATCACTTCTAAGCCAAAGTATAAACTGTATATAATCTAGTGTTTATAGAAGCCTCAGGTTTTTTTTCCAGCTTGACAGGGCAACTGGATGTTCTGAAAGCTGTAACTACTCACCAATCTGTGCCTCTTTCCCCCGCCCATTCCTCCAAACATCTAGAAAGTGAAATACAATGCACATCATGTAACCATCATGCTGCAAACTGTCCTGCTTCTGACACCAATATGTAAAGTTGTCCAGGGAGGTAATATGTTGCATGTTCTGTTGAACTAGGAGTTCTAATAAGGGGAAACATGGAAAAGCAATACATTTTTTCATATTATGAATCCACCCTGAAGCAGCCTAAGAACAAGGTTGTGTGTTTTGTAGTTTCATACAAATATTTTAAAAGTGCAGAATTTAGTTCTGTCTCCAAACATTTGCCTACTTGAGAATATAATTTTACTTTTTCAAAAAACATTCTAGAGAATCTAGTTTTTCTAAGAGGATGACTAAATAAATATCAAATGTATCTATTCAACATATCAGCGAGCTCTGGGCCATCCCATTTCAGGAAGTGCTCCTTCCTACTATACCTTAGTAACAAAGGTGTAAAATTATGTAGTTTTCAGTCACAATTCAGAAATCTCGCTAATGGTTAGCACAGAATACATTCAGTTCTACCTATCAGCAGAAAAGGTTCCAAAGGGTGCAAATCCTATGCAAGTTCAGAAAGAAAAACGGCTTTTAACTCTCAACTTGTCCCAGCCAGGCTGGGAGTTGTATGCTCCTTTTCTGTCTAAACTGGCATAGGACTATGCCTGAAAAGGAATTTCCTGAAGAAACTAACCCTCACTTGTTGATATTCAATTTGCAGCACACATCAAAGAAACCCAATATAAAAACTGAATCGAATTCACTGAATCGAATTCACAGGACATCTGCTTTGCATGAAGAAGGCCCCGGATTCAATCCCTGAATGCTCAGTGAAAAAAGGACTTTGAGTTGCAAGGCTGTGGGAAACTGCCTAAAATGCTGAGGAGCTAGCAGCTGCCAGTCTGGACACCTACTCATAAAAGGAGTGGTCAAACTTCAAGTTTGTTGGTGCTTTAAGTTTGTCTTAGCTAGAATCCCAAAATCTACTAACCAAACCCTGATGCAAAAAACAGACATTTAGAGTTAAAGAACAGAGTACCTCTGAGCATATTTTGAATCCTGAGACTGAGCATTCACCAATTCCACTTCTGGATACTCTCAGCTGCCTAATTTAGTTGGGAAAGTAATTTTGTTGCTGCTAGTCTTAAAGAATTTGGATCAGAAACTCTTGCTAATTTACTGCAAAACACCAATATCTACTTATATCCAAAACTACCTCTGGACACCCCTAAGTCAGACAATCCTGATGGCTTTCGAACAAAGCAGCAGCATTTGGTTAGATAAGCAAATCCCAAAGACCTTCACAGGCCTTTGTCTCAAAAGAAATGCGATCGGGAAGGGGAGTAAGTGAACGATTTAGATTCTCTTTGACTGCTGCAGACCAGTAGCAGTTTACAGTAAGAAAAGCGGTCGAGGCTCCCGCAACGCTTCCGAGGTTCCAATGGTCACGCTTACCTGGCTGTGTTGAGCAACGGGTGTTTGGTCCCCACCAGTTTGCGCACCTGCATGGCGATGTTGCTCAACTCGTCGCTCAAGAGGCAACGGAGGCTCATGAAGGACGTGGGGTAGCCTACGATCTTCTCCGCTTCAGAGACCACTTTGCTCCAGTGAGAAGCAGACGAAGGAAAGCCAGAGAAAAGACACCCCCGCTGCCTCGCCTTTCTTCCTCTTCCTGCCCAGAACTGTAAGAGGGTCCGGGAGCAACTTCTGGCGAAGGGCGGCAGTAATGCGGAGCGCATCATTTTCACCATCCGCCTTGGGCGTTTCTTTCGGATACGGTACAACCAACTACTCTGAGGGTAATAAGTCGCACCCCAGTCCGCCCAATCTCTTATTCCTTCCTGTTTCTTCCCGATCTATCCCATGAAGCGCACCTTACCGATTTAAACACGCCTCACACTTTGCACCTCCTCTCCCATAGTCCCTTCTTTTTGCCCCTCATAATAGAAGAACAGAACTGGGTAATAACAGTAATGCCGTTGACGGTAACTCTATTGCTTTACAAACTCCCTAAAGCCCTAGTGGCTGCAAACTTTCCATTCTAAACAGCAAGCTCGCCAATAGCCTCCCTCACACTGAAGCAACAAGCAGGTCGCATGGAGGCAGCCATCTTAAGTGTCGCAAAAGGAGAGCACGAGCGAGTCGCGGAAGCCGTGGGCTGCTACTTTTCTTTGCTTTACGGCAGCGGCGAAGAGGAAGGACTCCAGAGGAAGAACGAGGCGCGGATGATTGGCAGGTGGCAGGCGGCCAAAGCGCCGGGTCGCTGGGCAAGCCGTAAAGTGGAGAGTGAAGTTCGCGATGGCTAATCCGCAGTGGCCAGGGCGGCCGTAGGAGAGACGGAAATCTCAAGCTACCTAATTTCACTGCCTCTCCAGCAAGCGCCTCCCCCCAGGGTTGCTTAAATCACGCGTACAGCCCCACAGCTAAATTTGAACCCTTTCTACTTCATTGGGATTTTACTTAAATCGCGATGAGGTTAGTTAAATAATTCGTTGTCGAAGGCGGCAACCCTTAAGCCAGAATCCTAAGCAAGAGGAAAGACTTAAAAGTTCTATGTGTATTTTAGGCTTGACTACGAATAAAGCTTTATTATTGTCGCTGTTGTTACTGCTACTACACTACGTGTGTTAATTAGTTTCAGGATGCGTCTGTTACAAACAACTACAATGTACAACTACAAATTCAGAGGTGCGGAAAGAAGAGAGGCTGTGAGAAACATTTGGACACTGGAACTTCCCCATGAGGATTTCCATGCCAGCGCTACAGCTACGACTGAACCTTGGAGCCAAAGTCCAAGGCCCTGTAGCCCAGGGAATGTGTGCTATGACCACCCAGAGAGAGGAAGATAGAGAAACAAATGCCATTTTATTCCTGTGCCATGACTTAAATGAGTTTAAAATGCAAATACGTACGGAGTCTGCCTTTTCTGGTTGACAGACGGTTTTGCTGTAGAGCTTGTTCTAACATATCAGTCACTTTCTCAAATCATTATGGAGCAATTTAAAAGGTCAAGAAAAGTATTGCAAAGGGCCCACGCTAAAGACCTGTGTAGTATCAGCAACTGATCAACCTGTTAAAGTCTTTTCAAATTCTGACTAGTCCCAGCTGCAATTAGTCCAGCCTTCCTAGAAAGACCTTTACATTACCTTCACAATACTGTAATGCTGTACCTTCTAAACAAAGGCAAAACACTTAAACCCACACAAGCTGTAAAAGTGGGGTCATAAACAAGTTGGCCTAATATTCTAGGAAAAACTACCACATTGAAAGAAGCCAGCTTGCTTGTTCATCAAGAGTTAACAAATAAGGAGGTACTTCATGGCCAAATGGGGATTTGAACCTGGGTCTCCCCAGTCTTAGCCTGACATTTGGAGCACTGGCTCTCAATTAGAGCACTGGCTCTCAATAAAAATGATACTAATTCTGCTGTTATTGTTTTGCTTTTACACAATATTTTATACTTTGTCTCAATTTATTCTTGCTACTTTATTTGAATTGTTGTAAACTATTTTGGGATTCAGCTATCGTGCAATATGTATTATACATATAGCACAGTAAAAAGATGTCTAAAGCAATGACAAGTATATGAACCTATGAAAAGCCAGTGTGGTGTCATGAACAAGAGTGTGGGACTGGGACTCAGGCAATCTGGATGCTAGTTTCCACTCAGCCATGGAGCCATATACAGTGATACCTTGACTCATGAACTTAATCTGTCCCATGACTCTGGTTGCGACCAAATTGCTCGTGAGCCAAGTCAAATTTCTCCATAAGGTTCAATGTAAATAAGGTTAATCTGTTCTGAAACCATTTTTTTAAATCACAAAAAGGAGGGCCAATAAACTGAAGCTCAATCCAGACAAGATGGAGGTCCTTGGTTGGCGGATAGGGCTTCGGAGAGGGTAAATTGAACCTAGTCCTGAATGGGGTTGCACTCCCTCTTAGGGACAAGGTCCGCAGCCTGGGAGTGCTCCTTGACCCGGAGCTTTCATTGGAAGCTCAGGTGACAGCAGTAGTGAAGAGCACTTTCCTCCAGCTTCAGCTGATTCATCAGCTGCGCCCCTACCTGGAGTATGACTGCCTGGCGACGGTGACACATGCGCTGGTGACTTCCCGCCTTGACTTCTGTAACGCGCTCTACGTGGGGCTACCCTTGAAGACGGTCTGGATACTTCAATTGGTTCAAAATAGAGCTGCCAGGCTGCTGACGGGGACTGGGCGTTATGTTCACATGACTCCAGTCCTCCGTCAGCTTCACTGGCTTCCCATTGAAGTCCGGGCCCAATTCAAGGTGTTGGTGATGACCTATAAAGCCCTAAACGGCTTGGGTCCTGGTTAGCTGAAGGAGCGCTTACATCCATATATGCCCGCTCGCCCCTTGAGATCTGCGGGAGAGGCCCTTCTCCGGGAACCCTCCGTGAAGGAAATTAGGAGGGTAGG